ATGTCAATTAGTTCGTCCTGGCTGCCTGACAGTGGTGTATGTATTATGCACAGGAGAAACTGAGGCACAGATGATGGGAAGTGGCTTGGTCAGGACTGTGTCTGGAATTACAGATGTAGCGAGGAGCAGGCATGAGGGTCCCCTTCCCTTGCTCACAGCTGATGGTTTCACACATCAAAGTTGAAGTGTCATCAGTTTCTTTTCTAACCACCTGGCAGGGGTGAGAGGAAGGAGGACAAAGTGGAATTAAAGCAGTGTACCTGTAAATGTTCCACTTTGGAGTCTGACAGTCTTTACTCCCTCTGTGGCCTGCCTGAATATCTGTCTACTTCTGGCTCTGTCCACTCCTGGGCAGGGCAGCTGTCTCACTAACAGGCAGCATCACAGGCAGACATCCCTCTTTGCCAAGGCTCTTCTGGGGATTTATTCCTTTCTACACAGAGTGGTGGTGGGAATCGGATGCGCCTTTACAACTTGCAATTACATGGTGCCTTTCATCCCAAAGGACTTTTAACAAGTGAGTCTACAGATTGCAAAGGGATCATTCAACCACCACTGAGAGGTGTCCACCACTGGAAAGCAGCATCCTTTAAATGGAGCTCAGCAGCATTTCCCAACTGCCGGGGCCCGAGGGTAGGAATGAAGGGACTCCTGTGCTGGATTGGCCCTGAGTAGGGGACGGGTTGGCAGAGTGCACAAGCTGATCTGATTTTGAATCCCACCAGGATACTACAGCTCTTATGAAAGAGGACCAAAGAGTATTAAGCAGGGCTTAGTTTTGTATCACCCCTAGCACACCACTCCCTTCTAAGATGTCGTCGTGTTAGGTAACTTCGTTTCCCCCCTCCTGTGGGGATTGTCATTCCCACAGCTGAAAGCACGCTTGGAGCTGGGCTTGCTTTTGCTTTGTCTCAAGATGAGAACCGTGCTTCTGTGGGATCATGAGTCCAAAACTAAGTTATTTCACAATCTGCGTTTGGGATATTGTCACAGACTTAATAGGAGTAAGGGAGGGGTTTCTTGGAGGAATGTGGGTTTGTATTAGTAGATTCATCCTTTACCTGTTTATCTTCTTCCCATGTACTTTTACCTTGCTGAAACGTACAATTATGTTATGATTTATGAAGCAGTTGCCCGTTTCTCTGTTTTCTGAGGGCTGCCAATAAGATTGAAATTCTGCATTTCTTCTGTGGTGTTTAATCTCAGTGGTCTTCTCTAAGGCACCTGCATCCAGTCCCTGTCTGTACCATCTTTAGGTGTGCTGCTTTGATAATGTGTTTCGGATGTGTTTCAAACCTGGTTGCTTATTTACCACCTGTATTGCAAGGTGATAATGCAATCGGTGACTACAGTACAGGTTTATAACAGTGTGTATGTAGGCGTGTGTATGTGAGGGAAGAAGCATGTGTCTGCGTGTTGACAAGCGTGTGTGACCCAGGTGGTCTGCGCATAGTTGCTTGAAATGTGTGACACAAGCCAGCTCCCTTAGGAGCTCATCTCACTCAAATGAGGCGTGCAGTGAGGCAGCACGGGTGTCTGCAGGTACTGAAACTACCTTCTGCTCCAGGCAGTTTTATAAGCAAGTGATGAGCAGTGCTCCCTTGGACTGTCCCCTGGGTGGTGGTGGAGTCCAGGCCCTGCTTGGGTTGAGTTATGATGTGAGCAGACAAGATTTGGACAGCTCTCTTTGTGATTTCCAAGTCAGGAGGAGGTCTGTGTGTGCACGGAGGGGTGTGCACAAGTGAAGCGCATGTGTGCGAGGGAGAACCCGAGGTATGTGAGAGCAGGTGAACGTGTGCAAGCGAGCGGGGGTGTGTGTGACAGTGTGCATCTGAGCGTGTGCGCCCTCCTGCCGGCACCCAAGCCTTGTATCTCAGGCCCTTCTCCAGCTGTGTAAATACATTGCTTAACAAATCGAGGGCTCTGGTTAATGATTGCCATTAGCGCAGGGCCCATATTAGGCTCCATTTTGTGCGAGCTACCCAGCTGCCCAAATGCCATTAGAGTGAACGCACCAGCCTTTAATGTCAAGCGTGGAGTGTTTGCGCTCCGAGGAGCCTCTGCAGGAGCTGGCCTGGGGTTGCTCAGCATGGGCTGTCAGGCAGGTTTATGGCAAGCTCCGTGGGGGCCTGCCGCAGCAGCAGCAACTCTTAACTGCCTTCTGTAGTCCAAGCGACGTCCCGGGCATCACAGGCTGGTGCTGGGTGCCCAGGGGGAAGGGCATGCTGGCTAGGACACTTGCCCAGACTACAGGGAGGCAGCTGGCCCAAATGACAGAGTGGGAGGAATGTGTTGCCCTCTCTGGCAGCTAGCCCTATCCGTCTTCTTTCTGGGGATACATCTACAGAGCTTTGCCTTGTGCTACTCATCAGAGCCAGACCACCACATGCTGTGATCCCAAATGGTGTCGTGCACTAAGCCAGATCAGGCCTGGTCATCCCTAGAGCAGGATACAAGCTCCAAAGAAAACATGCTTTTCTGCAAGGAGAGAGTGGAGTGATTTGGTGACAGTGCTAGGGACCTACAGCAAGGTCCCTAGCAGAGGTGCTGCCCTGTCAGTCATGGAGTGGGTGCAAGACAGACCCGTACTGCTCAGGGTTATAAATGACTGCAGACTGGTCAGGGTGTTGCCATGAATGAGGGCGGTTGCATTGCTGTCTCTCCTGTTACTGCCTACAGTTGGACAGAGCTGGTAATAGTTCCTAAAAAGCCTAATTCTTTGAAGAACAGTCCCTTAGTGCAGGATGAGCAAGGGAAACCTTGGATCTTGCTAGGAAAGGCCTAGAAGAGGCAGCAGGGAGGCACATAACACCAGAGCCCAGGCCATATCTCCTCTCACTGCCCTTGTGGTGGCTGTGCTGTTGGAAGCCAGCCGTTGTCTTTTGGCTGCTTGAGAGGTCCCATGATGAAGAGGCAGGATTCAGTTCAGTTTTGGGCTTACTTGCTGCCGCCTGACCACCCGTGAATCTCTGCATCCTCCTGTGTTTTCTCACAGCCTTGTCCTTCACCTCAGCCCTTGTCCTGTGTTCATCTCCCTCATGGTGCCCTGGGAAGGCTCTCTGCCCCACACATTGGCCCCAGAAGAAGACCCAGAGTGAAACCCCAGGGCGCCTTCCCACCCAAAGCCTGGTGAGTTTTGTGGATGACTTACGTCTGTCCTCTGGACCCGTCTTTCCCCAGCCTCTCCTCCATCTGCCGTCCGCCAGAAATGAACTGATTCAGCTGCCTTCCCTAATCCTGTCTGGCATTTCAAAATGGAGGGGATTGCCAGGTTCTTTGTTCCTGTTCCCTCTTGGCACTGGCAGGGGACCTTCTCTGCTCTGGAGAAGGACAAATGTGCTGATTTATTCTGCCCCTTAGCTTTGAATAGGGGTTGCTATGTTACCCTCCAGCTCTGAGGCTTGCCAGAGCACACACCATATATAACCCCACAGCAGGTGGCTATTGAGTAAAGGCCCTTAAATCTGCCTCTCTTGTTTCTTATGCTGCTGGCCAAGGTGTCAGGGGGATGTAGCAGGGCATGATTTGCTGGCTGAAACTCCAGGCACAGCTGATGCCAAGCACCATGTTGGCATTTTCCATTCTCAAGTGCCCATCTTAATTTGCAAAGGAGGTACCAACTAGGCAGGAACATACTGCCCACACTGGCTTTTAAAGAGGCCCTTTCTGACATGAAGGCTGCCCCATGGGGCCAAGCTGTGACCGAGATCCTGGAGGCAGAGGCTTCCAGATCCTGCTGCAGTGACTGCAGCACCCAGGGCCTGGCTTGGACACCTCCGTAGCGCTCTCTAATTTGGTGTGACTGTTTGGGTGAACCTGACCATTTGAGCAGCTTTCTGGGAAAAGTTGTGTGTGTTTGTCCTGTGATGACAAGTTAAAACCCAGCCAGGATAGAGGCAGGTGGAATCAAAACATCACCTTGCCCTGCCATTATGTGGTTGCAGCTGTCTGATAGACCTGACTTTGAAGTGCCGAAATGAACCTCTGTAACTGGAGACAGCAGAGCTGGTAATAGTTCCTAAAAAGCCTAATTCTTTGAAGAACAGTCCCTTAGTGCAGGATGAGCAAGGGAAACCTTGGGTCTTGCTAGGAAAGGCCTAGAAGAGGCAGCAGGGAGGCACATAACACCAGAGCCCAGGCCATATCTCCTCTCACTGGGATTTTTCTAACCTCCATGAAAACAATGGTGAAGCCCTACCCAGAAGTGATGGGAGTGAGAAGAGGGTAGGGGACATTTTCATGAGTTTCTGAGCTGCTGAACTTCCCAGCATATGGCACTCTGTAGCTCATGCATATCCCTGGCGAATGCACTCTGCAGGATCATGATTAAACACTCTGCTGGCCCATAGAGTAGGGAGACCTCCTCACCTGGCCAAAGAGTGTCGGTGAAGCAGCTGCCCCACTGGTGCTTTTGCTTGCATAAAGAAAGAAAACATTGATCTGTGGAGTCTGGAGCCAAAACTCTGGAGAGTTTCAGTGTGTCTGGAAGTTTATAGATTAAGAAAGGGTGATTCATAATTCCTTACTGGAGAACTGTTGCAAAATAGGGCTGAAGAATGAGTCTTCGGAGATGACTTGGTTTATCTCCCTGCTCTAAAGGTGTAGTAGATCCTCCTTCAAGGCCAATTGAATCTGAATTTAGCTTTTCCATGTGATACCTTCTGGCAATGATGATGTTCTGATTCTGGAACTCTAAATGCATCATGGATATGCTGTTTCACTTAATGGCTACAGGCGCCACGGGTTCTGGTTATGTGGATCCCAGGAACTTCAGTGCTGTAGGGGAGGTGTGCATGCTTTTTTCTTGAAGGGTAGGAGCAAGGTCATGAGCAGAGTGCTTCGCTGCTTATGTTAGTGCCATTTACTGCAAGTACAAGCATGACCATCGATTCAAGGAGGTGTAATTGTACCAAGAGAGGGACATGACGCACTTGTGGCGAGAACATCACCGTTTGCAGCTTATATGAGCACTGACTTCGTCCCTCTTTATTCCCCTGCAGAGCATCAATGGAGGCCGCCCGCCGCCCCACTTTGTGTATGATCCATCCACCTTTGCCTTCCGTTCCCTCAGCACCTTGAAGCCGCTGAGCCCGATAGCTCCAGTGGAAGAACCGTCATGTGCCTACTGAAGGAGTTTCTCCAAAAACCTCAGGAACTATCAACCAACCACCTGCCTGGCAGGGAGAAGGGGAGGTGGTGATACCCAAGGGGATGGGTGGGAGAAGAAGGGGACAATGACACATCTTTGCAATACAGCCTCTCTGGCAGCAGGAAGCATATGGCTTTGCAGCAGTGCCTGTTTTCATACCATCACCATATCTGAATAATGGCAAAGGAAGAGATTTTTGTTTTTCAGGGCAAAACAAAATAGTCAGGTCCACAAACTCAAGGGCAGCCACCAAGGCAGTGTCAAGCACAGAGATGGCAGTAGCTGAAGGGGTTCAGTGGCTGTTATGGCCTACGTGGCAGCAGGGATGAGTGATCAGGGTGCAAAACCAAGTTCAGTCAGTTTCCCAAGAGTACCTGGGTCTACAGTGCTTTGCTATAGACCTGACCCTTCTTCCACTGAGAAGCAAGCTCAGGATTGGAGAAGGAGGCTGTGCAGGGCTGCCTGCAAAGCAAGAAGATCTTCTCTGAGATTATTGTAATTGCATTCACTTCAAGCTATCTTGAGTGGTAGACCCTAGGAGAGAGAGGTGGGAGGGGGTAACATCTAGCTGCATGTTCCAGGTGGCAACTCAGTGATATTATCTAAATTGGGATTGAGATGGGAGGTGTGAGCCTCCCACTTGTAGAAAATGCAGTGCCCACTTCAGTCCCCTCAGCATCATCAGAGAGAAGAACTTGGGGGTGACTGTGCTCTTGGCTCTCCTCTCTGCTGAGGCTGTCTGTGTTCTGGGATATGCAGTGCTTCTCCATAGCAGTGACCCAGTACCCTGCTGCTCTGATATGATGATGAAGGTAACTGGCATCACCAAACTCAGCGAAATCTGTGTCCAGCAGCTTTCCATTCCCCTGTTATGCTACCTATTAAATTCTTGTAGACCCTCCCTTTTGTAGCAGTGGAACAAGTATTCCCAGATGTAGCATGGAGTGGGAGAAAGAAGTCTCTGTTTTATGGCCACCTGTTGGTAGAAGAAACAGAAGGGGAGTTTGGGTGAAGCTGTAGGACATTTTTTCCATAGACAATCCTAAGACAGTTAGGACCATGCTAGGCCTAGCTACCACCTGAGTTTGATTGGGATCTGGTCTTGAGGCATGTATGAATTTTGTGCTACAAGGCAACAGCTAATGGGACAAGCTCTCGCCTCTCTTGATGTGGCAGAGTAACCCCATTTCCTCTTGCTGCTCCTGGTGGAGAAAATAACCTCTTCGTCAAGGTGTTCCCCACCTTGAGCCTGTCTCTGATTGCAAGGGGGAGCGAGTAGTTTACTCTTGTCTGGATCAAGGGGAGCAACTGGGAGTAATATAAAATAATTTTTTGGTTTTAAATCTGCTCCGTTGTGGAGGTCTTTGATGCTGCTCTTTGGATGAGACCACTGGTCAATCCAGCTGCCAGTAGGAGGCCACACAGTGAACCAGCATTCACTGATGCTTTCTGGGCCTTTCATTGAGAGCCTTGGGAAAAGCCCAAAGGCTGTCTAGGCCTGGGGACCTGAATCCCCCACCCCTGCCCTCCTCCCTCCCCAACCTCCTTTCATGCAGGTGGACAGAGCAGCTGGGCAAGGCGGTGAGGGGACATCTGTCCTGATGCTGCCCCAGCTCTGCTCCAAGCCATCACGGCTGGGCCACCCCCTGCACCAGCACCACCTCCAAGGGGTTGCTTGGGCTTGCTGGTGAGGTGCCTCTGGCAGAGAAGTCCCTTCTTCCTACAGAGGCTGAATCCTCCTGCCCCTTTAGAGACTCTACTTACCTGGTTTTGATGGCACACCTTAGCCTTGTAACTGCTGCCAGATGGAGCTGACCAGTGCAGGACAGGAAGTGTCGCCCCTTTGTACCAAACTCCTGTGCTCAGGAGAAGGGACAGCCGTAGCCTGGTACCTTTCTGAAGAGGCACATTCCCCGTCCAGATGGCTGGGGCAGGAGCCCCCGTGTGGCCCCGCACCCCCAGGCTTTGCTCAGCGAGAGCTGCTGAGGTGTTTGGCCCCAGAAATACGTTTCTGCCAGCCCCTGGGTGCGGCAGCCTGCCTTCCCCCGGGTGGGAGCGGGGAACAGGGATGTCCTGCCAATATCGTTGCCTTTTAGTACTTTTGTAACTTTTCTCTGTCTTCTCTTTTTGAATCTGAAGGAAAACATAAAAAAAAATTTAAAAACCAACAATGAAATAAAGTGTAACAGCTGCTATATTCACACCTCTGGTGGGTCTGGTGTTTGCCATCTTCTGGGTGTTTGTGGGCAGGGGTATTAGGAGGGGGTGGAGTAGAGCGAGCTGTGACACAGCACTGCCAGTCCCAGGCCCTGCCAAATCCCCAGCCACTTCTGCAGGAGAATGGTTTTAAAAACAAACTAGCAAGGGCTTTTCTAAAATGAAAGCCAGCTTCTTTGCATATAAGAGGAGCTCCTTGTAGAAGTGCTCCTTTGAGGCTGGCCCTGGTATGGTGTATCAGCCCTTACTGGTGCTTTGGCTTTTGAGTGACCTACTATTGCTTGGATGTGACCTGGCTGGAGACCTCAATCCCCTCAAAACAGAAATGTGGGTGCCCACACAGCTGGTCTTTGGCTTACAATTTTAGCCTATGGAAGTCTTACATCTCTGTCCCAGGATTCTCAGCAGCCCTTGTGCTTACAGCCAGAGCACTCGCGCTCCTCTGTAGCGTAACTCTAACTCATCCCTTTCTCTGGATCTTCCTCCATCAGGCACTGGGAACATGCATTCCCCACCCCTTGCTATCTCCTTGAGCAAATTCCTGTCTCTCCTCCACGCTTGTAGCTCTGTATCTTAACCCGCATCTCACAAGACTATTACCTGTGTCCCCTTTTCCAAGGCCCCCTGAGAGATACCAGCTTAAATTCCCTTAGCAGGCCTACTTAGGCTCATTCCCAGGAGGCTTTTTCTGCTTTTCCCTCCAAGCTCTGATCTCCTCTAGGCTTCCTGCCATCTCTCTTATCGTGAAATCCTCCCTTCTCTGTCAGCTGCAGCTCATTGTTAATTGGCCTTGGCCCATTTTCTGAGGGTGGACTTGCTGTCTCCCCCAAGCCCTTTGCTTTCATACCTCCCATACAGAGTTGACTTTTTCTGTGATGTTTCTTCCAAAACAGCCCCATCGCTCAGCTCACCCACCTTTGGGCCCCTAGATGCCTTTCAAAAGCACGGTGGCTGCTATGGCTCCACAAACCCAATCATCTGTAGGCTTCTGCCAGGTCAAGCTTGTTAACAACAAAGCAGGGAAGTTTTTGTGGTAAAACATGATGATAAACCCTGATACGGAGGCAACTCTGAAGCTGAAAGAAAACAGGCTAGGGGTATTCCTGGAGATCTTATTGGGGTGCTTTTCAGTTGTAGTCACCAGCGCAGCTGCCAAAGGAGGCTATGGATGTTGGCCTTATTTAGATGCCAGACCCTGGCATAGGAGCAGGGTTTGCTGGAGACCACCATGGAAGCCACCAGCAGAAACCAAGGAAACAAGAGCTGAGCTGTGGTCTTCTGAGGGCTACTCTGTGCTGTAGCCACTGTGTCCTGTTGCTGCCTCTGGCGTTCATCAATGTGGGCTGCTCACCTCTGTGGCTTCCGAAACTCCTTGTGCAAACCCTCCCTCCACTGGTGGAGCGGGCAGGGGTGCCAGCTGGGGTGTGAGCAAAGCGCTTTGTGAACCTGGCCAGCTTGGCCTAGGTCCCTCAGGACCTCTGATTTGCTGGAGCACCCAGCTCCAGAGGGAGTCCTCCCACCAGGTTTGGGTTGTGGCTCGGTGGGGGAGCCCGTAACTTCTAAGCTGAGATTTTTCCCTTTGCTCTGAGCTGATCTCGCTTAGAGACGTGCAGGTGTTTCCCTTCAGAGCAGAAAACAAGCCCTGCAAAGAGGGGAGGACTGTTGTGCCAAGGTGCAGCCCGGACGCGCTCAGCTCAGCTGTGTTCACCATCTGCAGGAGGGTGAATGGGGACAGGCGGCAGTTTGAAGAGCTTGGCCGTGGCTTCTCTATGATTTAAGTGGGACTGTTTAGGCTAATACCGTTCTCCAATTAAGGTAAATTAATTAGGTTAATGCGGTGGCCTTATAAAAATGACAGAGGGGAGGCAAGCCCACTGCATTGGCAGAGTGAGTTGTTAATGTGTGCCCTGAGACTCGCTGAGTCCCTTTGCAGCCAGTGCAGGGTGCCCTGTGCCCACCTGGGTCTCTGTTTGAGAGGGCTTGATGGGAAGCCCACCTGTGGCACACCCACCATCTGCATGCTACAGAGCAGGGCAGTGCTTGGAAAACACATCTACCACCCTGTTTCCCACCGCCTGCTGGAGTGGTGACCTGCCTACCAGATTGACTAAGAAAATGGGAAAAATCCTCAGCGCTGCTGGGGCCAGGGTTCTCGCCCTGGGCTTAGATGGAGGCCACTGAAACATGGCTTGGCACAGAAACAACCGAGAAGCAGAATTTCCAGCTGGACAGACCGTCTCCTTCAAACAACCGAGGGCTTTCCCTTGCTCTTTCTGAAGCTGCGTAGCGTGTTGTGGCAAGGCGTGGGGTGGAAAAATGCATTCAAGGGTGTGTATCAGGTGGGGGTTGGATGGGGCATGTGCTGCTAGAGTGTGGGTGTATAGACACAGAGTGCATTTAGAGTGGCATTTATATGGCTGCGGTGTTTATATTTCTAGCATGGTGTTTATGTTTTAAGTAGAAAGAAGTCCTGGAGGAGTAAAGTCAGGAGGCACGTGTGAAGCGAGCGTGGGCCTGGTGGATGTGCATGTGGGGCATGGGCAGAAGAAGAGCTTGTGTTGGAGAAGGGCATGAATGAGGCCGCCTGTTTGCAGGTGTCTGGAGGTAGTGACGCACGGAGGATGTACAAATAGGCTACATGTGCCAAGGCAAGGCTGGTGAGAAGTATTTCTTTGCCATTTCTGCAGAATCAGCCATTTGTGGTAACAACTGGCAGACTTTTGCAATGTGTCATGCCAGTAATGTTTAGGAAAAGTGAAGAAAAAAATGACAAACGCCTGATCTGTGTCCTTGAGGCACTTGGGAGCATTGAATTAAAAAGAAGCGGGCACCTGGACAACAGTGACTCAAAACAAAGCGACCTTATTACAAAATAGAGAGTGATTGTACATTGTTCCTTCTCAGACAAGAACTTCGGGGACATCAAATAAAAGCAGCAGGTGGCAGGCTCAGAGCAAACAACCGGAGGCAGATCCGCACGGAGCCCGGGCTTCCACTGGGGAACCCTGTGCCGCGGGGTGCTGCGGCTGCTCACTATTTACATGGCTCTAGACTTGAAAAGAAAGAAAAATGAAGAAAAATGCTCCCCAGGAAACACTGCATGCACAAATGCCACCTCCGGCTGAGGAAGACAGGTGGTGGGAGGGTTTTCTGGGGTAGGTCACTGTGTGCCAGCCCCGTCTCACCCATCTCTGGGGCAGAGTCCGCTCCTGGCAGGGTTCAAGGTGGGCTAGTGGCTCCAAACAGATGTGGTCACTCTGATCCGTTACAAAGTGCACTCTTCTTGTTATTAAAAAAAACAGTTTAACCATATTTTGTTTTCTCAGACATAATGGGTTGATGACAAATGGTCTGGATAAAGCCTAATCCCACTTCTGTAGAAGCCTGGGGCAAAACCCCCATCATCTTCCCAGGAGGAGATACGAGTCCTCAGTGGTGACTTGGCCCTCATGTCTTTGATGGTGAGGTTGGGGATGACCTGGTGTATCTACTGAGCTGCTGGCATCAGCAGCTGCTTGCTGATCTATCTGCATGGCTGCAAATGGGCATCCTAGAGATCCCCTCCGGCTCCAATGGCCTGGTGTCCCCCTACCAGGGCCCCAGCACCTGCTGGTGTCCATGTGTCATTGGGACAAAGTGAGTTTGTTTTGAGCACTGTCTCAGGCTGATGACTTGTATGTTATACATGTAATATACTCTTGGGGTGTAGGAACATGTTAGGAAAGCAAGGACTAGTGTCCTTCAGTGACTGGCAACCATCACACGGGAGTGAGCAAGGCAAAGAGGGTGCAGCAAGACTCTGCAGAAGTAACATCAGTAACAAGGAGATTTAAGCATGTTGGTATCTGACCATTTCCTGAGCTAGATTTTAGTGGGCTTATTTGAGAAAGGAGCTGAGGAAATAGAAGATGTAGACGCTTTGAGAGCTAGCTCTGGCTGTAGCTGCACGCCAGCCTGGCAGGACTTGACCACATGTTTTCAGTTAACCCGGGACAGGATGTGCAGATAGGTCTGGACACATGAGGAGCCCAAAAATCTGTTTTCCTTTTTGTGGCTGCTCACATCAGTGCCTGCTGTAATAATAGCTCGGGCTGTTAGTGGGTTGGCCAGCACTGATTGCATGTTCCCATCTGACACGTTCACAGCATAGTAGCTCCGAGGTCAGACGAGTGGAGGAACCGAAAGTGCCATGAGAGCGGGGTGCCAAGTGGGGAGATGAACGAGACAACAAAGCCCCTTTGATAAGGAAAGCAGTCACCATCTGCAATGGGAGGAAAGTTGCTTTCTCCCAAATGGTCCCCTGGGAGCTCTGCTCTCCTCACCCTGGCACATCCTGCAGACACCCTGAGGTGGGCTAGCCAGCAGCATGGCCTCGGAGCACGCTGGCACACTACACCAGTGAGTCTCTCAGGCGTTTGCTCCCCACTGAGGGATGGTGAGACTCTGGTGCTCTGTATTGCTGGTGTGAGACCTGTCCTTGTGTGCCCACAGCTCACCTGTTTGTCCACCTGGGCCTAATCCTCTTTCCACCTGGCCTCTCCTCTGCCTGATCGTGTCTTTTTCCAGGCCTCCCCTGTTTCTTCACCCCCTCTCCTGGTTCAGGTTCCTGTAAGACCCTGCAGTAAGCCAGCCTGGAGGATTTGGCTTGGTGAAATTTCTTTTCCCTCATAAATTTTCTCATCCTTGTTTCCTTCCTTGGCCGCCTTGTTTCAGCCTTTAGTCTCAACAGCAAGACAGTTTTAGTGTAGACAAAACTATGTGCCACACCTGGAAATGGCTGAAGCATTTTTTCCAAAAAAGGTAGCCAGTGTTCCACCCTGGGCAGTTTCATTGCCAGTGGTGACATTTGGCAAGATGCTGGCGAGGGTCTTGCCCAGCGGAAGGCTGCTTGGCAGTGCCAAGCCAAATACATCAGGGCAAAACCTTGATCACATACAGCTCTTTAGAATCCTGAAAGCCTTTGTCAGATCTTCAGCGCAGAGCC